GCCCCCCTGCTGAAGGTATGCACCCCCCTTGCTGTATGCAAATATTGGAAGTGTCTGATAGTGTCTGGGATTGAGTGTAGTGTCTGGGATTCAGTAGGTGTTGAGTCAACAAATCGAACATGACCATCAGAGGCCCAAAGCCTTCACCGGACTGGTGAAAGCTTGTGCAAGTTCCATCGAACATGGTGAGATTTGGCAGTGTCCAATCCGCGCCAACCTCTGTTTTTGGATGAAATTCCCCAGCGGATCTCGATGCAAAGCCGCTAAGTTCCAAAGCTCCAGTGTCGAAGTTGGCTCCTGAGAGAGCATGTTTTTTGTGTCTCCTCTCGACAAGTTCTGGGGTCTAGTGGCAGTGGCCCTGGAATCAGTTTGCCAGAAACGGCCAAAGGTGGATAAGGAGGGAAAACCGGGGTCAGAAACATTGTGCGTCCACGAAGAAACACAAAAGCACACACTGGCTCCAAACAGAGCAACAGTTCTCCAAGTATCACTGTTGGACTAGGCTGCTTCGGTGCGGCATTGCTTTCATGCAGGCAGCAACAATAACACTTTCTGCACAAACAGCCACGATTTGCGTGAACTGTTCAAGAATCCCTCAGTTTTTCTGACACTGTCAGGTTCCTGACACTCGTAAATCTCATGACTTCCAGATCAGTTTCTTCTTGTTCAATCCCGTGGGATACCCAGGGCCGGTGTTCTCTTCTCTTCCGTCCGGCGCGAGCCCGACCCTCTTTTTTTTTTGCACGAGGTCGGCCGCTAAAGGCGAAGAGCTGAATGAATTCGGTGCCATCTCCATGAGTCGGAAGTGTTGGACGAATGTCTTGTCAGCACCGGCAGGTGCTTCTGAGGATCCACCGTGATCCACGATGATCCGTTCTCCACCAGCTCTTTCCACCATCAAATCTGGACTTTGGAGACTTGGCACAAACGTCTTGTCACCTGAGAACTGTTGAGGACGGGCTATGAGTCTTGCCTCCAACCGTTTAGCTACTAGCTTCCAACCGCTACTAGTAGTGGCCTCCAACCTACTAACCTACGGCCTCCACCGAGCATAGCGTCCTGGCTATAAATGGACGCCCTGAGTCAACCAGTCCACGACTAAAGTTCACTTTAGCTGAGTTCACTTTGTTCACTTTTCGCCACTTTGGAGACTTGGCACAGCTAAAGTAGCGACTGGCTGCGTTGCTCCAGCGGTGGTACGAGGAGTCTCACTCAGCTTGAGCTTGGACTGTCCAACGCTTCTGTGGTTCTTTTATAGTCCGGACTATAGGTGTTCAAAACAGCTGGTGTCCAGAAACCATGGAGGCTCGTCCCCTCTTTCAGGCGCATCCGTGGCATCCCCTGCTTGTTTGTGCTCATGTTCCCCGAAAACCAGTGACCACCAAACTTCCGGTCCTGCTCAAGTGGCCACTTGACATATCCATCAAACCACGGAGGGGCCCCGCTTGCTTGATGGAACACACACCAGTTTTATGTCAAGCCCTGGAACACCTAAACTCTCCGGATTTTCTGCTCTCTGCCCGCACTCTCGCTATGTTTACAATTGATTTAACATCAGCATCACCATCTTGCAAAGCGTCTTGCTCTCCCTTTCAAGCCTTTCCAAAAACCTCTAAGAGAGCCCTGCAATTATACTTGTTTTGATGTCATGCCAGAGTTCACCTGAAACAAATACCTCAAACCCCAGCTCAACACAGGTGCCCACCGCCGGGTGCAGCGAGCGAATCGCCGGCTCCGCTCCGGATCTCTCCCAGGTGGATCTGGTCGACCGTCGACCAGGTTCGGAAGACGAGTCTCGTGGCGTCTGACTGAAGAAGGGCTACAGTAGACAGTCACATGGCATTATAAACATACCCGGCTGTACAGGATAATTTCCCGGCACTGACCCCATGTCCAAACCAGTACGGCCCCCCTATTATAAACCTCGAAATTGGACAGATGAACACCTCAAAGCCGCACATGACATGGACCGAAGACCACGCAAACATGGCGAAGCTACCACGCGCTTTGGGGGATCACACGATCGCGCCATCGAACAGGTCGGCCGCCCAGGGCACCCAGGCTGCCAGCGGTTTGGAGCCCAAATTCATCAAAAAAACGATGAGTTCTGCGGTTCGGTCGGAAGATCGCCTGCGACAGCGCAGGGATGAAGCTGGGGAGAGCAGAGCTTGAGTGATGGCTGAACCAAAACCCATCCTTCCACATCAAACTGGGAAGCGAAGCCGTGTCATGACACCTACAGAAAGATGCCATGACAGGAGGAAGTGACATCGATCCCCAAGTCGACTTCGTGAGTTTGGGGTGGGCTATTATCACCCTTTTCTAGTAGTAACAAGTGCCACGCTAGTAGTAACAGGTGCCTTACTAGTAGTGACAAAAAAGCTACTAGAAACAAGTGCCTTACTACTAGTAACACCTTTTCTTTCCTTTCTTAGTTTTTTTTCACTACCAGCCATGAATAGGGCTGACTATCAGGAGAGCTTTTCATGATTGTGGTACTCACTTGGGGAACAATCCCTCGGTATTTAGAAGCTGGACCCACAAACTCACTCCCACCACCTTATCAGGTAGTTGGAACCCTAGGGATTATGATGTGAACACTGAGATGGCATCTTTAGGTCTCTCAGAACGAGACAGGCAAGGCTACAGAAGAAACCTCTGAGAACCAACACCCCGTACACAGAACCAACGGTACAAAAGCGACCAAGCAACATGACCAAGCAGCGACCATAGCAGCTGTTATCGAAACCTTAAAGATCTTAAAATGATCTTAAGGGTCACTTCACTTCTTCACAATCTCTTCCCATGTCTATATTCCCGGGATGCACCATGATCCGCCACTCCAACTCCGAACCCATCTAACCCGCGTGTTTGTCGCGCCTCACCAAACCAAGCGGGTGTTCTTAATGATCTCTGCAAAGGCTGGGGCTAGCTTCAAAAAGCAGTCCTCCCGAAGAAAGTAGGCAAAAAAAGCGATCAATCGTTTGATCAAAGAGATTTCAAGTACCAGGACCCTCCGACAGGCTGTTTGGAGACCCTAACAGGTGGTTTCTGAGCACCTGTTGTCACCAGAAAGCACCTGTTGGAGGGTGCTGGCATCTTTCACTAAGATTTGTCCTCCAATCCCGAATGGGAAACAACAAAAAAGCATTGATGCTGTTGGCTGCTAGATACTGTGACTTGGCCCTTGCTGGAGTTCAGTAAAATCTAGTGGATCTGAGGAATCCTGTAGATGAGGGAAGAACCGAAACTCGCTTGGGCAAGCCGAGTCGGATCTGGGATGATCTGGCTGAGTCCAGAAATCCTTCCGGGCTGTCTCATGTAAAGAATCATTGTATAACTTATAAAATAATGACTAATTGATTTGCACCTCGAGTAGAGGGCAGTACAGTATTGTAGAAGACAAATTTAGTGTAATAGAACATCTCATGTTTTGGTAAAATGTTTAACATTATTCATCTTCAGAAGCAAAACCGGTTGATGGAGAAGTGTGGCGTAAATTTACTTTGACCCCAGCCCACACGGGTGTTCAGAGACCACGCGTAAGTACCAAGGACACCAAGCACAAGGACACCAAGCCAAAGAGCGAGAGTTTATATTCAGAATTCTATTTTTTTTAGCCAAAGAGCCTAGGCTTGTCGAACTTAGAACTCCTGTTTCGGGTATCAGTCAACACTTTTCGCACTATCTATCGACTTGATGCTGCTGTGTTCGATCCATTGTTTATTTGTTTTAAGGAACCACATCAAATATATATATTTTTTCTAGTAGGTACAAAGTCTCGCATGCCTGAGTACACCTGTTTGTTCACTTGCGGGCTCACCTCTATTCAGGCCGGGGCTCCTGTGGTCCTAACAAGTCTTTTTTGCAAAACCGCTCAGAAGTCCGAAAGCAGAAAACAGGTCGTGTGTTTTCCTGGACACGTGTGTGGCACCGGCTGAGTCATCGCGCATCGACCGCACAGTGTCTTCTCTACGCCTAACGCGATCGCGGCACCGCGGCACGTGCGCGTTTTCGAAGAGGTCAAGACCATGTGTCCATCCACCCGTCCGGACATCGCCGTCGCCTTGGTGGCGTATTTCATCCCGTTGGTCTTCCGACCTTCTGCGGTGATGCGGCCCCCCGGAGATGCGGCGCAACATGATGGCCTTGGATCCGTTTTGGGTGTGACGAAGTAAAGGGACGACCCACATGGGGCAAACAATGGGGTTTGGAGATCGACGTTGTGAGTGTACTTTGGAGAGGAATGCTGAGAGATCTTATGTTTGGATTTATGGAGCATTACACATGTCTTCCACGTTCTAAAGCCAGCGATGCTGAGACAAGGGATTGATGTTAAGGCCTCATGTTTTGAGCCTGATCCCAAAATTACTAATTGCAAGTGATACTGGGAATGAGTGGCTGTCCATGTCCTGAAGCATTGTGAGCCACTTATACGATGAAACCAAACACCAGGCTCAATTATTCCCATTATTATATACACGTGTAAAAAAAAGCTTCTCCATTTTGAAGGGCCATCTGAAACACTTGAACTACAAACACCTTGGCAATCAGTAAGAGCCCAAAGACACGAGATTCGCAGCCAATCTTTGCCTCCAGGAGTAACAGTTGTCATTGTCGTTGCTCTTGTGGTGATAGCTTTGGTTAGTGGTTGCTCTTGTTGTGTTCTTGCTTTTCTTGCAATTCAGTGGAGGATGTGGAAGACAGGGTTCCCTGGCCAACACTGATCCTACTTCTAACCAGCCAAAGCCAGCCCCCAAGTCTTTCTAAAAAGCCTGAACAATGGCTGTGGAAAAACGTGGGTCTTGGGCTAACTCCACCACCCAGCGGTCCATCCCTGCAAACACATTGCTTCCATTTCCCTCGGCTCTTAGAACCAACAACATAATCCCAACCAAAATGCATGTATGCACAACTGCACGACCCCTTCAAAGCGTCCTTCCTTTGTCAGAGCTTCTTTCCACCCCCTCCTGACACCCCCCTCCTCGTCCAACTCACCTTCACACGACCCCGTTTTGTTGCTCATCCGGTCTGCTCTTCACAGATTGCTCAGGGGCTGAGCGAAGTAACAACGTGGTGGAGACCGTGTCGTTGCTCTTCTTGCAGATCGACCCCACTCGATGCCAGAAACAGCTGGGAGAGCTCCAATACCTCGGTGACCCGGCGGTGACGCGGTCGTTGAGAATTGATGCACATCATCGGAAGTACCGGAAACATCAAGAACAATTGAATACAATCTATACAGATTAATATTATCTTATAGTAAATATGAAAATCAGAAACAGGTGGGAACGGTCATGGATGGTAGGGGTGTATTCCTTGGTCTCACCTCTGGAGTGTCGACCATGTCAACGTCTTCCTTGCCTCGATCGATCGAGTCCAGTCTCAGTATGTCTCAGTCCTCTTTCTCTCGGAACGGAACGTCCCAGTCCACCCGTCCACCCGTCCACCCGTCCACTCCACCCGTCCGCCCACGACGTCGGTCGTTCGGTTCGTCCAGGCGGCCAGTCACCGGGGCGGAAGGTGAATTTCTTCGTCTTGATGTCCCCGGTCCTGTCGCGGAGCTAAGCTCGACTTCGGGCGACTGGAAGCGCCTTCTGTTCAGAGTTTTGTTGCTTGGAGGCTTGGAGATTCCGTCTGTTGTGGATGATAGTGATTGATATGCGATGGAGGGATATATGCTGACAAAAGGATCGCTCGCCGCTGCGCAACGGTCGCGACTTCCGTCCATGCACCACCCGGAGGCTCATGGACCCTCAAAGAGCTGCATGTTGTCTTAACGGCCAAACACTTAGTTGTGAGGGTCCAAACGGTGGCTTATGAGGGTCACATGAGCCTCTGGACGAGGGAATGTTCTTTGTGGGAGCGAATTGGGCCGCTTCTTTTTTTTGGGGGGAAGGAAAAGCCAAGAATCCCTCTTCCGAGCCAAAGCGAGAAAAACGGGTTTCGGCTTTGCGGTAGGCTGCCTCTCATCAATCGTTTCGACCTCCACGGTTCGAGTGCCTTCCTGAGATGTGGCACAAGGATGGCGGATGGGCTTTCGGATGGGTATATCGGATGGGGAACCCGGAGGGGCGGATTCCGCGAATGAGTCGGTGTTTTCTTCGTGTGATCGGAGTCCAGAAGACTGAGGATCTTCTCTACTTTCCCCCCCAAGTCTGGCTCGTCGCTTGGAACGAGCAGCGTCAGAAACGACGCAAAAGGACCGTTGGTCCCTTTTGGGGGGGTGGAGATGCCATCTTTCACTCAGTTCTGAAAGAGTTTGAAGACCACCTCTGGTGACGGCGGTGACGTTGAGAAGTCTGGCGGATGTGTCTTCTGAGTCTGGAAACAGCTTTGAGTCATCGAAGAGTCGAAGTAGCGGTTGGAGCGACCGCATCCTGCTAGGTAGCCTACACTACAAGATCTGTGAGCAGGATCTTATGAAGTAATTGTTTCTATATTTTTGTTTGCCACCCGAAGCCAACCTGATATCTAACTGTGGACTTCCCCCAAAAAAAGCCAACAACAGTTTTCCTACAGAACTCCACGAGAGCCAAAACCATCGCTGAACCCTGCCACTTGCCCAGCCCAGCCCAGCCCTGAAACCATCTCTTCCGCGCGTCCAAGGTGACCGCCATAAAGCAAATGGAAGGGCCGCCGTCCACGTGCCATGGGATCCCCAAACCTTGAAGGGGTCGAAAAAAAGAGATGTGGACTGAATTTGGTGGATCGATCCAGATTCGATGACGCAGGTTCAAAGGGCATTGTTGTCCGCAGGTTCAAAGAAGACTCCCCTAAGTGTTTTTTTGGTTTTCGAAGAAGTTCACCCCCCTTTTCCCAATCCAGTTGTTTCTATCTCCGATGTAAGTAGCTTAATCAGAGTGATAAACACATAAACCAGAAAATCAAACGTGCAAGCCCTAAAACCAGTGATTCACTGGGCATTGCTCTGAGCACTGTGGAGCTCCAACAACCCCCCCCAGCTCTGGTGAAACCAAATCCACCATGAACTGCGGTGATGAACCATCCGTGTTCCTTTCGTCATCCACCGGCTCCTTTCGGCCCTCGTTCTGTACGTCACAAAAGTCATAGTACGTCCACCCTAAGAGCGATGGCACCCTACTAGCGACGGCCTCCACCCTAGTAGCGTTGGCCTCCACCATACTAGCGATGGACGTCCAAGCCACCTAAGCGCTGCCCCACTGGCACGTCCAAATGTGGCTCTGGCGGCCAACGTCTCTGAAGGCACATGTAGGGGAAAACCGCGTCCTGAGAGGAACTCCAATGCCCCGACTAACCAGGAGACTCATCGCAGAACATCCACTGATCAATCTGGTGGCTACTTCATAGTTAACAAACTAACCCAGAAACTGAGTGAGGGGGGGCGGGGAGGGCCAGGAAACCCTCCTCGATCTTTGTTGGTTGGCTGCCACACTGAAAAGGAATGGAAAGGACACCTCAAACGCACCCTACAGTCCCACAACCCTGCCCAGTAAATTCCTCCAACCCACTCTCCAACCCCCACCTGCGCGTTGGCTGCGGCAAAGGCAGGAACCGGACCCCGGGCGGAGGAATGAGTGGCGTCCATCAGCTTCTCCACCTTGTTCCTTCAATCAGATCGGATTCAGAACCCCAATCCGATGGCCGCTACAGCCCTGTTCCTGTTCGGGAAGCGGAGCCTCTTCCGGAACCTCTTCATGTTCATAGATGTTCTGCAGGACCTTGATCAACTTAGTTGGGACTCCAGACTATATTGAGCCAGGAACCTCTTCAAGGGATCGTTCTTCAGAGGGCAAACTGTTAGATATGGTCAGATGAAGGCCTTCTCTGCTGTTCTTCCGCTGACTTCCACTCTGAGTTGCTAAGGCCTACGCAAGCAAGGATGGTGTTGTCGAGATCAATATGGTCTTTAGTTGGAGCACTCTAAGAAGAAGATGCAGATCTTGTGATCCATCAACGGCTTCACATTCATCTGGAGGTTGCCAGCACGAATGAATCATGAGCTTGGGCGCGCTTTTGTTCAACGTACCTATAGATGTGCATTTGTTGGAACATAGAAGATATGATGTTTTGGCTCACCAGCCGAAGGACTTCCAAGCGCTTTGGACAGCGGACTTGCAATGGGTCATCCGGAGCAAAAACAAATCCCTACAGTATGCTTTATTGGGCTAAATTGCACTTGTCTGATATGTAAGGCACTGAACAAGGAAAACAAACGATTCTAAGCCCTAAAATAGGGAGAGAAACGCAAAGGACAGGAAAACATCCAGACCCTTCTCCCAGCTGATCAGATTTGTCTGTTCCTTCATGACGAGACATCGACAAATAACAGGTCGAACGTTCCGCATGGGTCGTGAGTGGCGCCAGACCCACGGGATTCATCACTAGATCCACTCAAGGCGCACCCCACCAAGGTCTGCGCACAACTTCGAGTCTACTCTCAGCTGACGTGTAGTCTTCGACTGCTCTAAGCAGTATCGTCGACGAGTCGAGATGGGAAGCTGGAGCGGTCGTGCTTCGACCTGCAACCAAGGCTCAACATCTCTGGATTCTTGTCCAGGAAGCTATCCACCACCGATCTCACCTGCCACGGACATGCGATCTCCATGGTCCGGCGACCGTGTCCAACAAAGCTTTTCGTTTGGGGGGGGGGAAAAAGCATTGAAGGACGCTCAGACTTTTGAGATCTCATGACTGGTTTCGATTGAGGCGTGAATGCCTGCACATCATACATAAACTCATGTCGTGCAGTTATGACGACCCTATAAATGAAGCAAAACAACTGCGCATCTTGGAAGAAGCATGCCCTCCCTCATTATATATACGGGTCGAATGCAAAAGAACTGTCCGATTTGGACATCCTCACTGATTCTCATACTGATCTTCAAACACCGCCCAACTCTTTGACGGTCACTTCCCACTCTTCGACGACCCGTTTCGACCGACCCGTAAGCGGTAAGCGCCTCATCAGGGCCCAGGCGGCGATAGGGACCAGCTGAGACCTTGCCCTTGGGCACCTGCTCATTCCGCAGCCAACCTGCCACAGGAGCCATGCTCGGGAGGGGGAGGGAAGGGAGGAGGAGGGAGGAGGTGAAAGCAAGCTGGCCGTTTGTTGGGAAGTCTCGGAACAGTTGGGGCAACTGAAACGTGGATTGATAGGTAATGATCGGTGTGCTGCCGCTGCCGTGCTGGTATTTAGCTGGTTGTGGGCATCCGGATGGCGTCCAAGTGGATGACTTCATGAATGCCAGGTAGAACTACAAGACTAGACTTTGGTGATCCATCCCAACCAAGGATCTCGTGTGAAATATCGTTTGCTTCGCTCTGACTTCACTCCGAACAAGCTTCCATGTGGCCCTGAGATCTCATCACTGCTAGCGGCGCACGGCCGTCCATCCACAGGCCATGCTGCCCCCCCCCCTCCTCACCACGCACCGCGGTGACCCGTCTTGACCGGCCAACAGCGGAGTTCCAACGCCAAGGTGCAAAGGTCTCCGCCGTGGTCACGCTGCACCTGCCGGGTGTGGCGGCCGTCGGTGAAGGTGAAGAATGTGAGGTGGGAGAACGGTCCTGATGTGAACTGGCTTTAGCATGGTCCTGGTCAGCCGTTTCATTCCAAACATGAAACTCTTCAGTCTGTGTGATGTCAGCCGTGAATCCTGGAGATGACTGGAGGGTTTCTCGTGGATGGTGTGGACGGGGTCACCGACTGCGCGTTGAAACCTACACTGCGTGCGTCGACCGACGCACATTGGGGTCATACCCACCAGCTAAAGTCTCTCTTTCCATACAACTTGTCTATATATAATTCTATGATGGAATCACAGGTAATTGGGCATTGAAGAATATGTCTGAGGAAATTGAACGTAATCAGAATCTGTCATGAACAGTATTGTGAACACGAACAGTTCACAGCTGGCAAATAGGACTTGCAGGCCATCAACAGGCCAACAACCACATCAATACACGCCGCCCCGCATTAAGAAGTCGACAATCCTATTCTGGACAGTAACCTCCCAGCAGTGTCTGTACGATCTCATTCCAACAACATACACTCCCTGGAACTAACATGGAAGTGGATGGCACGGCCCCTTGGAAGACCATTTTCCACTACAAACAGGTGGTTTTCCACTTCCATGTGAGTTCCAGGGAGAGTCAATACAAGCCACATCAGCAGTGCTCCATACCTTCGCACCGCCCGGAAATGGACGATCCTTCGCACCACCGAATAACAACGCATGCTTGCTTGCTTCCTTGCTTGCTTGCTTGCTTGCTATGCACCATAAGCTTCGATGTGTGAAGAACGCCAAGGCTGCCGATTGATCACGCTAGCACTACTTGTTGGCCGCTTACATGGAGATTGCCACCATTTAGAGCCATCAACTTCTGCACCGGAATGAGACTCCCAACAGCAACCCTTATGGCCATCCCCAAGGCCAGTTCTTGATCAAACAAAACATCAAACAGTTCTCCAAGGTTTCAAACGGTCAAAACTGTAAATAACCCATTGGAAGCTGATCATTAATCACTAACACATACTAATATCCTCTGATCATTTGGCCGACATGTTCTTTTTGAAAGTTCCTCCAAGAGCAATCCGAGGCACCACTCCATTGGCCATGATCTTGTCTGGAACACCTCAAGAAGAATGTCATCGAGCACATCGAGGTGTCTTGTTTCATCATCAGTCAGAAAGAATGGACCTGATCTGATTTGCTTGTTGTTTTCTCTTGCGTATGCTTGCATCCTTTTTGGGCACTTTTGCACACTAACTTCGGTGCTTCAGAGGAGGACGAGACACTCCTGACACTCCTCTTAGTGGACAAAGTTGTGGTGCTAGCGCGCTGCAGATCAAACATCCACGTATTTTTGGGTGGTGGTGAATGGTGCAGGCTGGTATACATCAAGAGTAACTTGAATATATCTATCATGGGGGCTGAAGATTTGATCCGACTTCACTCGTCTGACAGCATTTCCACTTGGAAATTCCTATAGTGTCTTGAGTCTTGACAAAGAACATTGAAGACTCTTTTTGGGCATCAACACCAAGAATGCTTCGTCTTCAGAAGTTGCTCTCGCCGACCACACCAAGAGGATGCTCCTCTTAGCTGATGCACCGGTGCACCCTGACGCGGCACACGCGTTGTTTCGCGTCATCGCAGCACTCGCAGCACGCGTTGTTTCGCGTTTTCGATCTGCCACCGAGAGACCAAAGTCGTTGAGGGCCACTGAGTCGGGATGGGGCCAGCACTCGATGCTGGGCTTCACCGCCTCCTTGAGCTGTCGGAAGACCTTGTGCGAGCCGAAATCGTTTGGTGCGAAGAGCCGACACGTTGAAAGACCCGTGGTTATCCACCCCTTTTGGGGGGATCCAAGTATATCCAGTCGTCCCTTCTCAGGTACGGGACTGATGTGTTCGACACGTGGTGATGTAGGGTGCTATTGTCGGGTCGGGTCGTACCTTCTGGATCCCTAGGGCACGGGCAGCCGAAGCGAAAGAACGAAACAGCGCAGAAGAAGCCGTGAGAGACGCTCCGAAGAGACGAACCAAACGAAGCACCGATCATGTGATACATGGACGTTCTGGGCACCTTGATCTTTGGCCTCGCCAAGAAGCACCCGCTTACATGGACGAAACTGGTCGTTTTGCTTACATGATGGCGCGTTTTTCGGTGGACCACTTGAGATCAGGGATGGCATTTGGAATTTGGTTCCAATCCACTTTATGGGATGCTGTCTACATCTGCTCACTAGCCACTAGTCTTCTGAAAAAAAATAGGTGCCTCAACAAAAAGCGTTTCGGATCTTCTATGCAGAAGCCTATATGTAGCCCTCCCGACCCCGACGGAGCCTCGATCTGGTGCCTCACAGGCTTGGACCCAAACCACTGGGGTTCGCTTGGGGAAGGCCTTTTTGTCTGAGTTAGGTCGTTGGCTAAGCCAAACCAACTCTCCAAGAACAATGCCTCCTTAAAAAGGACTCCTATGGTGGTCATGAAGGTGTTAAGCACATTACTGGATGAATCATGTGTATGATAAAAACATAAGACAACAACACTCTTACTCACACATACATCCTAATTAAGATGAATCCACGCTTTTGATGTATATATATAATATGATACAATATTACACGAATGTAGGATCCCTTCTTTGTCTCCCTTAGAAGAACAAAACCAGCACCGGCTCTCGCCCCCCATTCTTCCTGCCGGTTCCCGCCGCCGGTGTTTTCGGCCTTGGTGGGCAGCTTCCCTCGACGCAGGCAGCAGAGCACCACATCATGTTCGGTCTTGGCGTAAAAGTTGTAGACCTCTTCGACTTCCGATCGAACCTGAAAGGGGTCGACCCCGGATCTCTGAACAAAAGAATCATGTCGACTAAGAAGAAAGGTCTAAACAAAAACCTTTTGAACTTTATCTTGCCAGTGGCCTGGTAGATCCTATGTTAAAATAATGGAACGGCACTTCCACCGATGGACCAAAAAAGGAGCCTCCAATGCTAAGGCAGGAGGTGGGTATACCGTGGTGCCTTTTTTGGGGTTGACGATGGGCCGTGGACCGTGACGGTGCCGTGGCGCACGGCATCGGTGCCCCGAGATCCAGTGCATCGGATTCAATAATTTGAAGCCGATGGGTGGTGCTATTCTTCACACCAGGTCAAGGATGGACAAGGAACACCAGGTGGAGCATTTACTATATATGATATATATATATATACATAATGCCAATGGTTGCCAGATGTTGCCAGGTACAAAAAACCGCAGTTACTCCAAATCATCGCTACTAGGTTGGAGGCCATCGCTCCTAGGGTGGAGGCCATCACTATTAGAAACAAATGAGAGATGAAAGGTCTATAGAACTCCTGGTAGCGTCCTTGCTCCTAGTAGCGATGCCAGGAGCCCTAGTAGCGTCCTTGCTCCTAGTAGAACTCTATAGAGTGAAAGGGGAGGTTCGAGACGTTGACCTTGTTGCTCCGCTGTTCCCATCCCAGCGCGCCTTCTGAATCCCTCCGGGCCGTCGTTTGCGCGGCATGGCGTTAATTGAAGCGAAAATGATCGTGTTTTGATATGGCTGTGATATATAATACACAGGGCACGTTTGATTGCCATACTCAATCTAAAGATTGGATGATGCGTCCTGAGAATCTGATGGTGGTTTTAACATGTTTTAACGGTTAACCTGAAGTGAGTTGACCATCGTTCTCCGGGTCGACCGAGGTAGATCGCTGCATCTGGGGCGTTGCATCAATCTGGGTTTGAGACCGTTTGAGGCTGAGGTTGAACAGCCCGTCTGGTCGCCCATCCCGTATGTACCACCAAAAAGGCTCCTAGTTCTGGTCTCTCGACCTCTCTTGGAAGTTGGGGCTATATTGCCACAAAAAACGGCAAGTTTCAGACATCAGGACCTCTACATGCAATCTAGTCTCAGGCCCTCTGAAGAATCCTTCACATGTTTGCAGGCCCTCGTCCCCTCGGGTTCTGAACTCTTTTCAGAAATCAAGTAAGTACTCTGAGTCAACCCACAAGCGTTGATTGAGCTTGATGTATGGTCTTCATGTGCTTTCTCATTGGTTTCCTTTGATTTTGTAGAGCCTGGAATGATTGCAGAGGCTTTTCCCCATAGCATGGATTTCGTTCCATCAATGTGTTGCCAGTTATGACCCAGCTGTCGCTTCCTGGTCCTGTGTCTTGTGTACAAAAACGGGACGGGTTTGGTTTGCCAGGTACTTGGGAGGATGGGACGTTCATGTCTGGACCTCTTCTCAAAAAAACAAACGGGCAGCTGCAGCCCAGAAAAAGCGTCGGGCGCGGCAAGACGTCGGGTGCAGGTCAGGGTGTCGGGTAGTCCATCCAGTGGATCGACTCGACTGGAGTAGAGTCGAGACAAAGAGGTGGAGATCCAACAAAATCCAAAGGATCAATAGATGGGTCGTTTGTTGTTGTTGTTGTTGTTGTTGTTGTTTCAATATAAATAGTGCACTGGCCAGCGATTCAGGATCCAAAAACCCAGACCATGCATGGGATTGGCCTATGTACCTACATTGGGATGGTTAAAGAGAGTTAAGCAGATTTGAAAAGGGGTCAATGTAGGCATCTTGTGGCATATTCGAAGGTCAGTTTGATGGATAGTCTAGGAAATCAAGCCCACAAAAACTAACAAGTCACGGGGAAGAGGATTCACACCAGCTCCATCATCCGTTGGTGCAGCGTCCTCCACGAGCTCATTTCCACTGCCAGTATAGCATCCACCACCAAGATCAAGGCTCCTGTCTCTACCCCTCGCGTGCGAAAGAAACAACTCTGCACCAAACAGCGCCACTTTGACGGCTGGAGACAACAAAAAAAGGTTGATAATTTGAGATACATTTGGTAGTTTTTGTTGAAAAGCTTGTATGTATCTTGTAACCATAAACGGCCAACTCCTGCCAACTTCCACACATCTCCCCCCTCGCATCGTCTCCCTGCTCTATCCTTCTGCTGGGAGCCTCTCCTCATCACCCAACAATCCATGCACCAAACCCCCAGCGCCAGCGACAGTCGCAGGAGGACGCCCTGGTGCGGCACCGCTGAAGCACACACGGCACGCGAACGAGTGAACCATGCCACCAGCGGGGCCAAGGTGAAGTTCAGACCTGACGTAGACGAAGCATCTGGGCGAGGCGATATCATGCGGGTGATATCAACCAAGAAGCTGTGCACATAGTGCCTCTAGTCTAGGGTGCTAACATCTTGAAACCATCACAGATTCCTCCCAAAGTGCCTGACATCCAAGTTTCAGGGCCCAAGATTCTCCGATTTCTTCCTGACTGACTCGTTCTCCCTTTTAGTACCGCCACCGACGCCAACCCCGGTCCAGCGAGTGGCAAAGGTGTGGAAAGAGCCGTGGCCACCAAGGAAGATGCTCTGGCCCTTGGGAAGAGCCGAGTTCAGCACGGTGAGGAAGCGAGATGGATCCGGGTGGAACAAAAGGGTAACAAACGGCGAGATCAATAAGCTATTAATTTAAATCTAATTAATAGCTTCTTGTTACTAGTAAGGCACTTGTTACTACTAGCGTGGCACTTGTTACTAGTACTAACAAGAAGCTAATGCCTGGAAGCTTTGGCTACTGAAAAAAAGAACACGTCATGTGACGCCTGAGTTTCCGAAGCCAACACATTCTCAGAGACACATCCAACAAATTTGCCAGAATCCTGAAACAGGTGCAGAGGGTTTGATCTGCTTTGGTTTCGCTTCTGGCTTTCCAAGGCATTGTTGCCTCTATGACTTCCATCTGCTACAAGACTTCCAGCACCTTCAATCACCGAACGTGTTCCATAGGAGCTTCGCGCGCTGGGCATCTGAAAACCCACACACCGTCGGAGAGGTTTCCACACAATCACAAAGATGAAATGCAACACCTGCAACACTTGTAAAAGATGTATTCAATTAAGGCGTCCACAAGGCCGGCAGTAGAAGGACACGTCAACTATCATCCACTGGTTGGCCCAATGGTTGGCTGTTTTGAGGCAGTCAACCAAACCGGGTCACGGCGTATTGACCCTTTGGTGTTGTATGCTTTGCCGGGGTTGGAACATGCTTTGCGAAGCAAATGGATTGAACATGAATCCAATGGCCACAACAAAAAAGACCTGCAGCATACCTTTCAAACGACTCCAGCTGTTCAGCTGTTCACCCTCAGAAGTGTCGATTCAACCGTGAACGACGGTAATTCTCCAACACCTCGCACTCCAGGCGTTCGCCAGGTGAGCGGGATGTGTACAACGTTTGTTTCCGACACTTCGTACACGTTCGTTTGGCTGAAACCTAATGGCTTTAGGTCCGTTAAATGGTCCTTTCTAGGTCAAACGGTCAATATACAACACTCGGATGGATTGGACATGACTGACCCCACACCGAGACCGATTTGCCCGAGAGGCGTTGGCAGTCAAAGGGCATCCGCGGGTCGCGGACGTGCCAGGCGTCCAACGAGGCGCAGCAAAGGCCCAGCTCCAGTGTCCGCTGCAGGAAGCGACCGACGCCTGCAGGTCGAACGGGCGCCGCTATGCCGCAAGTACGAAGCTGGAGCAAAGGGCATCGCTGCTAGGAACAAGAAGCTACTGCAAAGGGAAAAATATGGCTCCGGCTCTGGGAATTCTGCAATAGACAGGTCCAAAGAGGCTAACCAAGAGGCTAACCTTAAAGGTATATCCATTATTGGGAACACCACATAGCCAGGTATCTTGCCAATAACCCTCGCACCTCCATAGTTAACGTTGAAGCACTCCAGGATGTTCAGCAGTGTGAGAAGGAGGCTGTTGGTCAGGTCGACCTCCTGTTATCTCATCCACCCATGGTCAGCTGTCAGACTTTGATGACTTCGCCCACAGATGTTTGTTGCGAACATCAATCAACTGTGGAGCCACCTCTCTCAATAAGGCGCCACCCCACTTGGAGCAAGGTTGTCTCGTCCAATTCTCGGGTCCGACTTTGGAAGAACATTTCGACCGACAAAGCCTTTCGCTTCAGAACAGCTGTGGGGTTGGACCCAAGAATAGCCCAAAGCCAGGAACCTGGCAGCATCCTCATGTTCCACATGGTTCCACCAAAATACCAAATATGTTGAAGGATGTGACAAACAGTCCACGCAGTCCAGTGTTTCTTCCGCAGCCTTGATGGGCCAAAAAGCACGATATGTTCAACTTGGCCCTTCCCTGTTAATTATCCAATTGCCCGATTGTTATCTAAAGGCAGTTTAATCCTTTTGGATCTGGTTTCTCTTCAAATCACTCTTTGTGTGCGATGACACCAAAGCTCAAACTCACCAGTTGGTCCTTGGAAACTCTCTTCTCCCGTTGCCTTCGCCCGGAACTCCCCACCGCTCCAGGAACCAGCCCACGTCGGCCACGTCGGGGAAGGCCCACAACACATCCTGGAGATGCGTGGAGGTCGGTCGTCATCGTTGCGACGTTTGCGGAGAGGGCTGGATCCTGGAGACCGTGTCAACGTGCAATCTTTGATGTCATTTGTTTATTTTGTTATGTGAAATCCATTAGTGAATCATGAATCATTCATTTGGACAAGGGCATGGTGAATAAGTGTTTTTTTCCTTGTTTCTCGTCTGCGGTGGCTGATCATCGTTGAAACAAGCTCCAGAGTCTACACTCCGAGCAAAAATCTATTGATTGTTTCCTCTAACAAAGGAGATCAAAGGAGGCATTCAGCCTCACAATGCCTCATGTGCACATATTGTTCATGGAAATTCCACCACTTTTGACGAGGAAGGTGTCTTCTGAAAGACGTCCAAGAGAACTTTATCCCCAAAACTCCAACATCATATCAGAGGATGGCGCTCAGTTACAGCCAGATTCCAGAAAAGGAGTTCTGAGCCACAAGAAATGACTGCACCTGGACCCCCCCAATTTGAAATATTTGGGGAAACACACCGTGTGCACTTGACCATATTATGTATGAAATAGCTCAAATGATCTCAAATGTGTATGTGGTTCAAAAGCAAATCACCCCAAACAACTAATTGATCAGCATCTCAGGATATCCCAGGTGGGGGCAATTCGATTCATGGACTTGGGATGACTTGGGGCATCTGGGAATGAGTACCATCACCCACACGAAAGCGTTTAAAGCCTTTGGAGCATTTCAAGAGATCTCATCAACAGTGTGACTGCTACGACTTAAGATGCATAAGCATTCCTAGAAGCCGCCAGCCACAGGATACTTGCAGCGTCGCATTGTTCCGATTTCAAGTCCCTAATGGGACCCGACGATTCCCCCCACAAAGCCTCCGGTAACTTGCACGTAGTGCACATAATGTCTAAATCCGCCGACCCCTGCCTTCTGAACAAAAGGGATCGGCGGCACCAGGGCGTTAGCCCATTCTATTAAATTCAGATCCCTGTCAACTGTCTCACCGGCAGAATCCCGGCCAAGCCACTTCGGAACCCCCGCCTTCAGGCCGAAGGGCCACCCTTTCCAGGGTTCCACGCACTCCACTGCCGTGCCGCAACGGCGGAAATCCAGGTTGAAGTGCTGCATCGCGCCCCTGTGAACTCCGGAGTCAGACAACACAAACGACACAGAGTCAAAAAGGTGATGGTGTCTGGGGTGGATTCGCTCACACCGACTCACAGAGATTTCCAGAGAGAAAAAGGTCAAGCCGCTGAAAAAGCCGAAGAATTCCTGCTTTCTCCCTGCGATTCGGGAACCGGTCACTACCAAACACGATGTCTGGCCAGCCCAAACAGGTGCAGAACATCCACGGAAGATATCCGTAACAACAACACATGCATGAGAAACTGTAGATCTCAGATCCAAGGTGGTGCAGATTTGGCAGGCAGCCTGCCGAAGCTCTTGATCACGCACCATGAGATTTAGGACTGGATTTCGAGACAGGCTTCGTCGAAAAACGGAAAGGACACAGCTTTCGGCTGGTGGAGGAGTCAAGGACCTGATGGTTGTCTAAGACATCCCAAGTCAAGACGAAAAGCGCGCGCTGGTGGAGAAGGATCATGGAAACATCGTATGCAACCTGATCAGTGCGTCTCCTCCTCAACAGCGTCTCCAACCCTCCTCCTCACGCCCGGAAGCTGAAGAGCCTCCGTTCTGGCCAGCCACTGCCCTGCGGCCGCGCGTGGGTGAACTCAGAGGCAGAGGCACTCAAGAGTCGCAAAGCCAAGCCAGCCTCGCAGTGGGCCAGTATGCCAGTGGGGTGACGGACCAAGCAGTATGAGCGTGTATTTCAAGTAGGGAGACCTTGCAGGAAGAAGGGCAATAGACCAAAACCCATTGGTCGACGCAACAAGTCACGCAAACTCCAAACTTGGTGCCTAAAAAAGTCGTAGAACCAGAACAGAAAAGGCGGCCACCTCCGAACAAGAGAAGCGTACGCACCATTGAACATGATGGAACCAGGGCGCCCCTGGTGACCCAGTGCTACGTGACACCGGGGTTCCCCATGTCGACCGGCGGGTGGTTCCCTCAGCGCTCGGTGAGACGCCCGGAGGGCGCCGGCGCCAAGCGAAGCCACTTCCGCAGGAAACGGCCGAGGGCGTCGGTGGCACCTGGCGACGGCCGCGTCTGTGGCCCGGAGCGTGGCCACGATCCGATGCGACTGAGTCAAGGAATCATTCAACTGAACACGTAGTGCTGGGCTACTCCCCATTCTCGCGAAGACACCTGACGCACGTCATGTCAACAAGCTCCTGTATACCAGATTGGAACTGCTCAAATCTCTTCTGTTGAGGAACTTGCAGTTGGCTTCTGGGCTGCGTCATCCTTTATCAATCAAGGTTTTATTTGTTCATATGGTTTTTTTCTGGCGGCTTCCTGAGAAAGAAACTGACCTTATTAGTCAACCTCACAAAGGCGATGTTTGACTATGTAGTTTATTGGTTTGATGAAGTTTGATGTTTATAATGTATAACCATCACCCAAAGTCTGAGGTTCAACGCCATCGACCATCACCAATAAACTTCCACAAGTCAAGGCTTAAGATGAATTTTAAATGTCAAAAAGTCCGAGTTTTGGTCAGCTACTCTTGCTGCAGCTCTGGCAGCTAAGCCCACCCAAATATTCACAGAGAGTAACATTGAAGGAGACACTACTCAACCATACATACACTCTTAAGCTTGTTTCAAATCCCCATGTTTTGGAAAATACATTCAAGCAAGTCTTTGGAGGTCGTCACTCCGGTCGGGCCGAGGTCGGCCTCTCACGGGTCGCGAGGCAAAGGCGGCGGACAAGGCCAGCATCGCATGGGCGGTGGCCTGGGCGAAGCGGTGCACCATCGGTCGTTGGTTGGAAGTGGATGCGGTCGCGCATTGGTCGCTGAAGAGCCCCTATGCCAGAACGAGCTGAAGGCCATTTCTTTTCTGGATGTCACCTGGTTTCAAAGGTGCTTCGAAATCAAAGTTGGCCGATCTTTTGTTGGGATAGAGAAAAAAGCTGGAAAGCAATCAACATGTAATGGATCCGTTCATCACTACATGTCGAAGGACCACAAAGATCTTTCGACAAGGATGTGAATCATAAAATCATAAGCCTTTCATCCTATGTAGAATGTCAGTGTGTTCCTGATTGAGGTTGGGTTGTCCTTGATGATTACTGCAAAGGACGCCTGATTTTTCCTTCCAAGGCCTGTGGTCGAGGACTTTGGATAGGGAAGATCTGGCCAACGATGGTCCCGAGCCAGCAGAAATTCCAGAGATACACACCTAAGACTTTAACACCATTGTGCCTAAGGTTTTGGTACACAATCTTAATGTACCCAGACTAACATGGGGCTTGAACAAACTAAGTGACTAGCTTCCTCCACAACGGGTGGTTTTCAGGTTCCATGTGAATCTTCCAGGACGTATGTCTTGGTGGAATGTTGTGGCTACAGACTCTGGTCTTAAATACTAACGACTGGGTCATGACGACTGGGTCGTGATGGGAATCCTCTCGGGATGAACCGGCTATTGGTTGTTTCTGTGATACTGCGATGGAGGTTTGTCCCATACCTGACCCCAACAGCACCGAAGCAAGTCTTGATGTCTTTCTGTCCAGCAACATATATCCCTGTTCATAACAACTTGCTTTACACCACCTGGGAACGGGTTTGACCTTTCACCCTCTCCGCGAAAGGCCCGAAGGGCCCCAACGAGCCCGACGGGCTAGCTTTCCTGCTGTCAAGCGTGCATAACCCCAGAGGGCGTCCAAATCCCTCCACAGCAGCGTTGGCGGTCCGGGCAGGCAGAAGATGTCAAGGCCCATCAGCAAGTGCAGCAAAGAGAGGAGGCAACATAAAAGACCTGCCGGGTGGAGTAAAGCGTTGCTCCGTCTCAGCAGCATACAGCATCAATGCCAAAGGACATCCCAGAAGAATGGGGTGAAGTAAACATATAAAGATGGCCATCACTAGCCTAGCTCTTTTGAGGGTAGCTGGGTAGCTGCATCAGTCTTTCAGTTTCGCGAAGACATCGGTGTCGCATTGGAAGACATCGCAGCCGAGGATCGTAGCGAGCACGCCCAAAGGCTGGCATGCTCGGAGGAGTCTGTGCGCAAAGAGCCTTGCGCTGCGCCTGAATTCACATGAGTCAAAGGTACAAACAAACAACTGGCACTACCACCAAATGCGCGGGAGATTGTCAGAGATGTTTAGATGAAAGCATGAAACATGTTTTGCAGTTTCCTGCCAACAAAGTTCTCTCCCCCCCCCAGCTATGAGCTCTACCATATATCTATCTCATAGCCCTACATTGTTGGGTCCATGTCCCATTTTACATGCCAAAGGTTGACTGATTTGGTAGAGTGCATTGTTGATTGACACCATGAAATAGTGATGTTCTTGTTGCAAGCAACAATCTGGCACAATTGGCTAATGTGCCGCCAAACAAAACAAGTGTTTCAAGGATGCTGCCAGCACATTAAGATGTTCAAAGGAAAGAGTGACACTCTTTGAGTGCTTGCGACAAGTCATCCCAAGAACCCCGTCTGAGCTCTCACCAAATTGTAGGATGGCCTTTCTCAAAGCACCTTACAGCAAAAACATCATCTCAAGTACTTCAAGAGCCAGCTACAGTGGGATTTATCTTTGCAGCAGCAGGAAAACAGTCCCAAGATGAACAAACAAAAAGAACGTATTCTATGTATTCTGTGCGGCATAGCTGGGCTCTACTTGAGGATTTGTTTACATTGAAGTACAACGGTTCTTGGAACAACATGTTGAAGGTAGAAAGCGTGGATGAGCTGGGCCAACTTTTGCTTTTGTGCAGTCTTTTGCAATATGATTTGGGTGTTGCTTGTTGCGATTTCAAGTTCACATGCTTGTCCCAGTTTGATGACACTTTCCGTGCCTGAAACCGAGCTTTGTCCTGGCAAGGGGGTGCTTACCTGCATGGTCTTGAAAAGTAAGTGTTTGGCGATGTCTGGCGCCCTCCAAAATGAACACACTGGTCAATCTCAGGGAACCAATATGAATGTTCCATGATCGCACACCTGGCAAGCCATGATTCCAGCTTGTTCAGCCCCTTTTCCTGTGCCTTCTTCATGCCTTCTTGATGCGAAAGGGGCCTGTTTAGGGGTCCCAAATGGCTCCCATATCCAAGATCACTTGAGCTTCCCGCCAGGTCACCCAGCCGATCTGCCAGCGTGCAGATCTGGCTCGGTTTTGACCGGGGAGGATGTCGTTCCAGCGGTGAAAATGTCTCAGTGAGAGTCCCCAGTGAAATCCTTCGGGCTAAGACTGGTGCTTGCTGTCCAGGAACCGGAGAGCAAAGAACAAACATATTCACCAGAAGGAGGGGATTCACCCATATAGGGAAAAATCAACAAAATATAATCACCTGATCCGCACAACCAAGCTTTCCAAACCTGCTTTCGCACAGCAGTTGGTTCTACTTCTTTCCATCCATGATTCTCACAGCAAGTCAGATCCAAAAGTGATGCCTCCGATTAAAGACCTACTGGGGAGCTGTTGAAACATTGGGGACTACAAAACATGTTGATTCTAGATAGTCAATGAAAGTGCGCTGTCCTGCTGAAAAATGCTGAGAATCACATGGTGTTCCTCATTTTTTCCGTGGGTATTCACAAGAAATTGAACATACTTTGTCGTCAACTGAAAAGAGAAACACCTACCTACAGTATAGGGATTCAGGACATCATGAATGACCAAACACTAACAAACATCCTTTCAACCATTGGTATTCCAACAATGAATTTTGGACCTTTCCTATTTTCTTGGACACGATCACAAGGGATCATCCAATGGGTTTTTGAGGAGAAGGTTGGACATCCTTGCGCGTGCTGTGGCACAGCATTCAGCTGCGTTCTTGAAGTGTCCAAAAGCAGTGGTAACATTTTCTTTGGAGCAATAACGCTTTGTATATATATAATATATTATTAGTATTATTTTTGTTGTTATATTTGTATTGTTTCCATGGTGTTTGCCCAAATTCCCTGTTTGAATCTTTTGTCAACTGCCTTGACGCCCAAAAGAGTCAAGTCCCTGCTTTGATGCTGGAGGTTTCAGGCACCTTGGACGCTGAGATCCCCCACGAAGAAGGGCAAAAGCAACAGCAGCAAGCTGCACCAGTAGGGCTCAGCTTCGCCTTCAAGCGAACCATCGACCAGCTGTGCGAAGCTCGCGTAGCAACACTGCGCCTTATTGGGTGGCCTTCTCTGAAGACAAACATGCTCTTCGGATGTTCAAGACAAAGGTCCAATTGGTATACTGCATGGGTAACAAATAATGGGTATATGTTGGGTATATAATGTTGTATATATATATGTATTTATTGTTTTATAACACTAATTATTGATTCAATACCTTCTTTGAATATCTTTGAACATCCCCGAAGGTAGGCGGACCTCGGACTGCGATCCATGGGACCATATGGGACCCCTGAGGCCATGTGGTCACGGTTTTCCGTGTCGTTTTGTTGGGTCCCTGAGTCCCGTCATTCCGTTTTCTACCCGGGCCCCTCATTTTCCCGAAACTGAGAGGCCTCTCACCTCTCCCGAGCAAAAGACCAACCGTCCAGTACTAAAGACCAAAGATCTGCGTGGGTGCAGCCCTGTCACCAAAGAAGCAAGATTAGAACATGTCTTCGGCAGATCGGATGAGACCCATCCAAAAGTTCTTGCAAAGGACCAACCAACACGCGATTCTTTTCTGCTTCCAGGTCCAAGAATATGGAATTGCTAAGATTCTATGTGTACGACATTGACTCAGGAACTTAATCGCTTGGAATTTCCATTTGCACTCTCCTGGCCCATTTCAGCACCCCCAGCCCCACCTGCCATCTGCCATTCAATCCGCCGGAGTACCTGTGTGGAGCCAGCCTAGGTGCAACAAGAAGATGTTCAATTTGAGCACTCAAGAATGTCCATGAACGACACTCAAGTATGCGGTGAAAGTTCATGTTTTTCACATGAGATGGGAAGGCAATGACCATGAGAAGCTGAGCGATCTCCAAACTACCAAGGTTGTGCAGGGGAGCAACATTCAAACGAAGATGTTTGTGGTGTGGCCCCTTTCAATTAAAACATGTCAGGTTCAACCATTGACCCTTCCAGCCTAGCTGCAGTAGTGAAACATGTGGAAATAGTAACAAGAGGGGATGCCTCAACGACGCCGAGGCTAAAAGACATATGTGGTACGCCACGAGTCGCGAAACTAACACGTCCCACGATGAAGCAACTGGGTCCCGAGAAGTCCTGCAAAGGTTCAACCAATCGATTTTTGGACAGCCCTTGGAGTGGAGGATGCCCTCAGTTGCTTGGGGACGACGATGAAAGGCGCCTGACAGGGAAGTAGCTTCCAAAAACTCTTCAAATCCATTCCGCCTGGGCAGCGAAGCTTTCTTTTTTGGTTCCCAACCTCGGATTGCTTCTTCCTTTTTCCTGTGCGGCTTTGACAGCGAGCAGCTCCTTGGATTCAGGATATTTCCCTGGTTGATCCCCCAGTCGTCAACAGGAAGATTTGAAGATATCTCAAGTCTCCCTGGGAGACTCCTTGGGCACCCCGACAGGTGCCAAGCGCATCAACAGCTCTTCAGCTTCCGCGCGAGGGCTCCCAGGGCTCCCTCGGTTCCCACAGCTGGGGTGGCAAAGGGCAAACCTCAAGGCAACCAGCTGGGATGGCTTGAGACTGGACCCTTCTATATACACCCGAAATGCAAGGGTAAACTGAGAGGTCATGGGGTGGTTGCATGTCGTGCGTCCGTGCCTTTGAATCGGATCCTTTTTTTGAATCGACATGACGTCTCGCATCAAAGCATCAAATGTTACGCCTAAGAATCCATTACTGAATATGATGGTGAAGTCCAACAATCCTTGAACAAATCGTGCTTGTTCAATGGTCAATCAATGGTGTGGGAGGGTGCTGGACTACCTTGGAGCCCACCCACTAGACCATACCACTTTTCCTGAAACTTGTCTTCGATCAGGGGCTAAACAACAGGACAGTGACAAGTCCTGTGGGAAAAGCAAAACAACTACACCTGATCTGTCGAAAACTCACAAACAGCCAGATCCAAGCAATTGACATCCGAGGGTCTGCAAAGGGCTGCGGTCGCCTAAGAAGTGGAAGCGACCTTGCCGGAAGAGGACAGCAGGAACTATCACGTTATGAATCAGGGACTAAGCTACAAGCAGTGAGAATACTGAAAACAAAGGTGAACAACGAATCTTGGAAACTGCTTCTCTTTATATATGTATACTTGTTTTGGGACCTAGTCTTTACATTATACTTAAAAATATACGTAACCAGTGTATACTGTTGCTTAATTGCCTGGTGATCTCTAAATGTGTTTATCTGGAATCTGACCTGCAGTGATGTGAGCATATCCCAACGTAGGACTTCCGCAAGTGCGGGTCTCCCTGGGCAGAACAGCACGAAGTGCCGAACAGTGATCCCAACGTCTCTATGCCGAACAAAAAGAGCTTTGCCAGGCGCAAGAGAACCTCTTGTCACATTAATGGTGTGATGTATATATATAATTTATATATAATATATATATATATGTGTATGTCTTTGTTTGACCTTTCGCCAACTTGACCGCCAATAAAGCTCATCCCACCTCTTTGGAATTGGTTCTCAGGGCTCATCAAACAGAGTTGCCGCTGACCCATGGACCACACACCATCGCCTCGGGGCTGTGCACGGGATGTGCGCGAAACACCACCTTTGGAGGACATCTGGGACAACCCAAGGCACCTGGTTCAGGTTGTAACATGTTGTAACCCATCGACCCAGCCCAGGTGCGCAGTCTGATTCCAAGAAGTTGTGCTTCCAAGTGACGTGACTGGTTTTGGACAACAGAACGAACGAAGGTAAAACCTCTCGATCTTGAACACCCAAGACGGCCCAACAGTCATCATGTTCATCAAATTCCAAGTAACCACATGTTGGTGGTCGCCAAAAAAACTTGAAGGTGGGGGAGGCCGTGGGCCACTAGCATGTTTGCGCTCAAATCCATTCCGAAAAGTCAGGGGAAGGCATGGAAAAGATTCCGAAACTGGCAAAAAGGCACATGTGCACCCTCAGCCCTCACTGGACACTAAACAGAACAGTCAACAAATCCCAAAAGAGCCTTGAAAAAGTGACCCCATTCGCAAACAGTGTTCAGAAGATCACAATGATATACAATGATGATCAATGATGAGGAAAAATAACATTTTGTCGTTGTGATAGTGGTAGAGTGGTAGTGATATGGTAGTGGGGTAGCGCTATGGTTAGTGTGGTGGTCGTAGATAGTGTGGTAGTGGTAGAGTAGTGTGGCAAAGGTAGTGTGGTAGTGTGGTAGTGGTTAACACAAGGCGTTACACAACTGTTACACATTGTGAGCTTCGCCAGTTAAAACTGTTAACACTGCCTTGCCAGCTTCCCATAAGAATTCTATATTGCTCTCATGACTAGGCTTGATAAAGGATTGATAAAGGCTCCCCAATTGTCCCAACTCTTCAAGTCTACAGCAAATATTCAAAAACAAGTACCTTTTTTTTGCCATGTAAAAAAACAACAGTACACTCTGAATTAAGATAGTCTTTTTGTAGCCAAATCCAACCCCCTCCCCCCATGTGGATGGGACAAACCTCTTCAGTTCTGGGAGGGGTGATGCGTCCAGTTTTGTCACGGTCCGTCCAAGCGTTCGAGAAACCCTCGGGCAAGTGCTGCATCCCCGACAACGAGGAAGATGCCCAATGAAGCTCCTGTTTCTTTGTTTTTCAGCGTTTCGGCAGAAGAGAAAAAACCAATGGTTCTTTCTGCGGTCCATTGTAGACTGCAACACTCATATTCGTTTGGAGTAAGGACAAATATTAAGGACAATATATATGCATATATATATATATATGCATGCTTGTACGCATGTGGGATGCGAGTAAAACGGAGTCAGTCAATGCGTTTGCAAGCCTAGGTCGAGTATTCATTTCAAAGAAAAGGTGAAACCAATTGAGTTCAAAGCTTTCGGGTCTGGATGGATGTATTCTTGGCTGGCCCAAATGTCCGGCAGTACATTGAGCCAACAAACGATAATCTGCATGCATTCATGAAGTGGGCGTTAGACTGCCCGTTTCAATCTTGGGGCCCATCCTATAACACCGGCGGCCCAGCGGTAATCAATTCTAAGCAATTCTATATGGTTCCAAATATTCTGTTCCAGTCCAGGTGAGTAACTTTGACATCCACAGCGTGAAAACGAAGCAACACTGTCTTTGACTCCCAACCTCCAACCCTCTGTCCATGCTTCGGTCCAATTCGGTCCACCCGATCCGGACGTGGGACCCAGATCGCGACCGGGACAGTGATTTCTTCGGTTCCTGCATCGGGCAGGACATCGCCTTGATCTGCGGTCCACTGGCCGCCTCTAGTACCGCCTCTGCATCCGCTTCGACTCGCAGCTCCATCGAGTAGCGTCGCGAGACCTCGCAGCTGCGGGAAAGGCGGGAAAGGCGGTTGGCTGAGCCCAGGTCGGAGGGGCAAAGGAGGGGCGAAGAATTCAAGGTGGACATGGTTTTTAGAGGCCACATGTCCAGATCGGTTTTTTCACGATCTTTTTTCGAGTCAGCTGCAAATTATTGGAAACCCCACAATCCAAGAGAGCAGTGGTTTGCACTCAAGTTGCTGGTTTTCAATGATTTTCAGGCTCTGTATCGGACCTCAGCGCGCAAAAAACGCCCGGATCTGACGACCACGAGTGGCTGGGCGGCTGAACAGCCGTTCCAACGAGACCGTCTCGGCCCCTTGGATCCGTAAGGTCTGTTTGGTGAAAGGTCAGGAGATAGGTCCACAGCGGAGTTCCACATAGAGGAATCCAAGCACCCTCTTTTTGGGGCGGTACCTGACAAGATCCTGCAGCACCTTCAGGAGAAAAATAGCGATTGTGATGCACAGCGCATCGCAACTTTCCAGGATCACGATTTGAACACTAATCTGCAACGCCACGAGGGATATGTCGTGATATATCCACAGGTCCCCTCACATATGTCGTGAGGGGTGGAACAGCGCCCCAGGAGGGGCACCCCAACATGAAAGGGGCCCCGTCTGCTTCCTCGGCGTCGGCCTGGGCAAAGTGATGATGTTCCAAGATCTCGTGAGACTGGAGCTGAGCACCAGGGAGCAACAGGAAGGCCATGGCATTGGGATCCTCCAAGCAGGTCTGTGGTGCGGATCGGTTGCGGTTGGTGATTCGTAGATCGCTTATACAGATCCAAATGACTTCTGAACAAGTTGCTGTTTGATTACGCATATGAGGCCTACTATAGCCTACCTTCTGAGACGTTAAGATACAGGGAAAAGAACAAAGAACCAGGCGTTCAGGAGCTTGCTGGACTGCCCTACAGCTTGCTGGACTGCCCTAGAGTTGCACCCAAACGGATGATCTTGATATGTAGACACGCCGAACGAAAAATGGCAATGAAGGATCTGTGCAAAAGCGAGTAGAGTGGAAAATGGCTACAGTCATACCTTAGCTGGGAAACTGGGTACGGTCGTACCTGTTTCTGGTTAGCCTCATGTTTTGGCATTGACTGCCATGTGGCAATCTTTCATCCCACGCCCCATTGGCGCGCGCCAGCCGGCCTCTTCGAAGGGCACCACGCCATGCTGCCAGGAGTGCCAGGCCAGGCAGTCTACGAGACAAAGTCGAAGTTAAACATCCGAGGAGACGAAGCCCAAGTCAAATCAGAGCTACTTACTGGTCGGTCCGTTCGGTTTTTTGGTCAACATCCATTGGTAGTCTGATCCTTTGTCTAGTGCAGGGTTTTATGGGCACTGGTAGACAGCAACACATGGGGTACTTTGTTACTTTAATATGGGTGTGGTGTGTATAAAAACAGGGAGACCTTCCAAAGACCCGCTGCAAGAAGGAACATTCTACAATATGCTCTATTAAACATCGCTCATCATCCCACCATTCACCCATATCCTTCGGACTCCGCGCCCTTTTCGTTCGCACCTCCGCCACGAGCGGCATGGTTCGCGAGCTGCCAGGACTGAAGGCCCTCCGTCACGTGGAAGGTGGACTCGTCCATTGTCTCCCAACCTGTCGATCGGACACGATCTGACACGCGACACACGTGGGTTTGGGTTGTTTATCTGTGACAAAAGGCAAGAAAGAGATCGCACATCCCATGCAAAGAGGTGTAACTTTGGGAACTCTTGAGAGAGAAGAGATCGAATGATCGAGTTTGCCAAACTGCTTGATGAAGTAACAGGCTAATCAGACCCCCCACAGTGACAAAAGAATCGTCAGATTCAAAGGTCAACCTGGAAACCTTAGTCTATGATAGTCTATTGTCAAGGTGTGGGTCAACAACTGGGCCGGTCTTTTCAGAGAAACATCCTCTTCATGCCTGCAACCGGCAACCAACTTTCGGCCCTGAAACCAAACCCAATGGATTCTCCAAAAAAAAGACACGGTTACAACATAACTAGCTTCTTGCTTCTTTCGTAGCGATGCCCTTTCTTACTAGTAGCGTCCGGAGGCTCCGTTCGTGCCAGGAGCTACGTTCGTAGCGTCCTTGCTCATGTTCGCGCGCGTCCGAGGCACATGATGTGCCGCACACCGCAGTGCCACCACGGGAGGCCAAAACCACATCCGAAAAATCATGCTCCGAAGCACACATGTGGCTCGGGGGGGGTTCTTTTGGCTTTTCAATGCTTTTCACCATACATGTGGTGAACATGTTGGAACAAATCACACAAAAAATGTTCAACCTTCAACCCGCACGCCCAATCAGTGGCACCGAACCCCACCCGAATGCCTATGTTCTGGATGGGGCGAAGCCACCTGAGAGGCGGCGGCGAGCTATGAAGGTTTGGACCGGCGCTGTGGACACAAGACTTGGAATTCCAAGTGTCGAGTGAACCAAACAAGTTGCAAGAGACTTGTGAAACAAAAAAACAGGAGGAGCCCTAAGCCCTACTATAATGACCAAGCCTGTCCAAACGTCACCCTGAAAGCGGAACCTTCAAAAGACCGCAGCTGTGACTCAGTCGCCTTTCAAAGAGTTGTGGTGAAGCCCGAAGCTGGTCCATCAGCTGAACGATTCAGCTCAAATTCTCGGCTACTGCCAACTGATGCCAAGAAGGCTACCGGTGCATGGTGGGGGAACGGCTAAGTCTCATGCTCCCCAAACAGGGTTTCATCTTCTGCATGGAAGTGCTGCAAAACATAACGAGCAAACCATTTAACGCATACTATGACACATCCTTGATGCCTCGGCAGCATCGACCTCCTGCACGATTTCTTTGACATGTCCGAGTCGTCTTGGGGATGTCGTTTCCAAGCACGCAACACATATCAATCCTTGAAACATGTTGGTGATTTCAGCACAGACTTTTTTGACCTTTGTTTTGATGCACACCCCCTCCAGTGAGTTGAGGACTCACAGCGCCCAGTCTCGCCAGTCTTGCCCATCCCCCCAAAAACCTTGTGATCTCTTTCAGTCGAAGCGCCAGAATCGGAGAGGCTGCTCTGCAGCCAGCGGTGCGTGCAAGTCCACCCTGCCGAACTCGACCGCTTTGGACGGAAGACCCCTCGCAGCAAGGCAGCGAGGAATCGTCCGGAAGACGAGGTTGCAGAGCAGAACACGAACTTTGACACCACGAGGTTGTCCGCATCCAAGAAATGGGGTATTATGATGCATTATTGAAATTCAAAGTCTATTTCATTGATTCCTTGGACGAGGTTGCACGTAGTTGTAGGATGTTGGGACTTCGGTCACCTTATGTTATCCTTCGTCCGAAACCCGCATCCACTCGCCTCCGCGCTAAATCGCGTGAACCGTGCCTCACGTTGAAGCGGAGGTCGGGTGGGTGGGAGGAGCGCGGCAGGCAGAAACGTTGGTCGAAGACCAGCAAACCTCGGCCGCTTGCTTCGCTGGGGGGCGAAACGCACGTGCTGCGGGAGCGAAACGCAAGCAATGCATAGCAAAGCGGTGATGATGAAAGGTCTTAGTGATCCCCACACCCAACAGCCAAGGTTAATAAGAATGGAGAAATAAGATCTTAGTTCCCAAATAGAGCCCGACCCTTTACGACCAAACACTGTTGGCCTTTTTGGGGTCGTTCGCAGTAACATGCGGCCGCTTGAAAGTGCTGGGTTCCCCGGAAAACCGGGACAAGGTACAGCAACGGTTTACCATAACTTACCCATGAGGAAGATCAACATCACATCACCCTCATCCAAACCAGGGACGTCACCGGCTGCGCTGAGAGGCCATTGGGATGCGCGAAGAAGTCCAGCCGCTCCGATGCAAAAAGCGCACCCGCGTGCCACAACGGCATGGCGATGGCATGGCTGCGGCGGCGTTTTGGAATGGTACCGAATGGTTGTTCAAAGGATGACTGCAACTTCCCTGTACTCAACAAGGTGTTGGGGGTGCAAAATGGTGCAAACATGTTGAATGTCTACAATGTCATCTTTCTTTTTGAGACCTTTCAAAGAAGGATACAACATTAATTATAAAACATATTGCAACAACGAGGTCGACTCGGCATGATGGCTGAGGATAATGAGGACATTCGACGGCGAATCCCGCTGTCGAGGGACTCTACTCACCAAGCTATCATGTTCTATCTGGGTTGATCATGCTAACAGGTTTAACAGGTAACTCATCTGCACTTAAGCTTTGTCAGGATCAAGTGATACCGAAATAATTGGAAAAGTACGGCACAAGCCTTGAACACTCTTTTATGTAGATGTTTCCGAGGAAAGTATGGCTACAAGCCAAGGTGACAGGCTGCTGTATTTGCTTATTTGAGGGCCCAGGTGGTTTCAACCCACCTGCCAAATATGTGTGTCATTGGGATTAACCATCTGAGGCTATATGTTGAATCTACCGACCTTCAACTTCAATTTCAACTAACAAACCATTTTGATTAATGGGAAAAACAGTAGTGACAGTAGTAGTAGTAGTAGTAGCAGCAGTAGTAGTAGTACTAGTAGTAGTAGTAGTAGGAGTAAAAGCACACATTGTCAGACGTGACAGCTCAGAGTTGTTCTCTTGTTCCTCATTCTCACTCCTACCAGGCTCACGGCCCCTCGAATCAACATGATTCATTCTGCCATGGGTATTGCGCAAACCTTTGCCTATTTTGATATATATATATATTATATACACTATAATGCTTATTAATACTTTACTATTTCATACTATTTCTATACGATACATTTATAAACATGTTGTGTTTACCCTTACAACCAACTGATATAGTCTGAACAGCTCAAAGACCCCAAACACATCTTGACCAATTTCTCCCGCGTCATGTCGCACGGTCAACCGGCCCAGCGACCTCGAACGTTACGCGGCGCTCTATCGATGGGGGGGAGATCTATCGACCGGGGCGGTTTGGTCGGCCACGACAGAAATCCCTGACAGAGTAGATACATCCTAGGGAAGCTAGTATGTTGGAGGCCATCGCTACTAGCTTGGAGGCCGTTGCTTTTGAATTTGAAGGAGATCGCTAGTAGGTTGGAGGCCAGTGCTTGTAGGTTGGAGCCCCCCATCGTCCAATGCATGCTCCATTTCCGGTCCCCCGGCCTTCGTCCGGCCTAGCGGATTAAGCTGCACCTGGCACACCAGGTGGAACTCACTGATATAGTGCTTCAAGTCGTGGCCCTAAAACAGATTTCGGAAGGTTTCCAAATGTCAATGTACTTCTATGCAAACCTTCTATTGGCACTTCGAGGTGAGGCCGCAAGCATGTCTTGTAACATCGAGTGTCGCCGTGGGGGGTGCAACATGACCATATTGCAGGACCACAAAGACCTGGGTTTTGTAGGGACGACAACGGCGCAACGAAGTGCACCATATTGCGAAATATGGTGAAATGGTCGTCGTCTTGCGATGATTAAACTGATGCCACCCAAAAAGAAGATTGAACTTTGCTCAGTAATCAAACTGGTTTGGCGAGCATGTCTATATGGACATTCCAAATAGACGATAAATATTTGGACTATCAGTCATCAGTCTGTTTGATGGCCTAGCCAGCCAAAATCACTGTAGTGTTCAGCATGTATTCAGTCCACAGATTATCGAAAATCTTTCACATCACCCAACTTGAGGAAACATTCCAAATTAGCTTCTGCAGTGCTTGATCTGATTGGAGACTCCTGCTTATTGACTCCTGTTCCGCCTCTTTTGCGTAACACAGCGAACTATAGCACACGGGGTGGGCTCCGTTCGCTGGCTGGTGCAGCAAGCAACGACTTGGAACATATCTGGACCTTCGTTTTTTGGAGGAGCTTTGTAAATCAAGAGGAACAGCACAAGGAAAAGGGAAAATATTCAATATGCTGTAAAACAATTTGTTTGATGCATCCGATAGACGATGCTGTTAACAAAAATGTAAAACAACACATACTACACTACACCGGTAAGCAATGCTGTAAATCAGATTCAACATTCCACGTCACCGCTCTAAACCACGTTGTTCGTCGACCCAATCCAGAACCCTGTTTTATATGTATACCCTTAGGGTATATACTCGTCTTTCTCTCGGCATGCCAACCTCGTCCACGGGTTTGCGTCATCAATGGACGATGGGATCTTTGAAAACAAGCTGTTCAGATGTTTTCAGCATTTTTTCGGCGGACCCCTCCCCACCCCAACAAAAAGGGAAAACAATGGACTAGACGACGGGTGGCCCGAGAGCGAGACATGTGATTGTCCAGCACTGTGGAAAAGATATATAGAAAGAGAGAAAGAAAGGATGGACGTGAAGGAGTGACAGTGTGGATGTGCAGGTGCGATACAGATGTATGGAGGTGGAGAGGTAGATCTGTGGATGTGAGCGTGCGAAGATGTAAATGCACAGAGACGAGAGAAAAGATATGTAGAAAGAAAGAAAGACAGGACAGATGTGAAGGAGCGACAGTGTGGATGTACAGATGTGATAAAGATGTGCAGATGTGTGGGTGTGGTGAGGTGGAGAGGTAGATCTGTGGATGTGAGCGTGTGAAGATGTAAATGTACAGAGGTGAGGGGGTGTAGACGTAGATGCATCGATGCAACGGCAGCGCAACGTCAACCTTAGTTGTGCAACTGAAGAACGTACATTTCTCACTGAAGTTTCCACGAACAGGGCGACCTGAGAGTAAACGACGTCACGATCATGACAAGCGACTCGTGTATTCCAAGCGAACATCGTTTGTCATGAAGGTGAAGTACACACATACTAACGTCACGATGACTCTTTTGTAGCAGCCACTTATTAGTAAGCAAAGTAGCTAAAATTTGTCAACCTCTCAAGAGAGCCGGGTGGTCGGGAGACATGACTCAGCCGCAGGGGCGCCAGAGCAGCCGCGAGAGATGACTCAGCCGCGAGAGATGACTCATCCGCGTACTAAAGTTGTACTACAAAGTCGCCAGTTCTCAGCTTCCAGCTCCACAGCTTGCTCCGCGTACTAAAGTTGTACTACAAAGTCGCCAGTTCTCATCTTCCAGCTCCCCAGATACTCTGCGTACTAAAGTTGTACTACAAAGTCGCCAGTTCCCATCTTCCAGCTCCCCAAATACTCCGCGGACTGTCAAGTCGTACTACAAAGTCGCCAGTTCTCAGCTTCCAGCTCCACAGATTGCTCCGCGCACTAAAGTTGTACTACAAAGTCGCCAGTTCTCATCTTCCTGTACTAGAAAGTCGCCAGTTCAAAACGCACTCTCGCCTGCATTTCGCGCACTCGACACTCACCATCCCCGCAGAGGGTTGTCCCGGACCGGGACAGATCGCACTCTCGCCTGCATTTCGTGCACTCGACACGCGCGATCCCCGCAGAGGGTTGCCCGCGACCGGGACAAATCGCACTCACACGCACGATCCCCGCAGAAGGTTGCCCGCGACCGGGACAAATCGCACTCTCGCCTGCATTTCGCGCACTTGACACGCACGATCCCCGCAGAGGGTTGTCCCGGACCGGGACAAATCGCACTCTCGCCTGCATTTCGCGCACTCGACACGCACGATCTCCGCAGAGGGTTGCCCGCGACCGGGACAAATCGCACTCTCGCCTGCATTTTGCGCACTCGACACGCACGATCTCCGCAGAGGGTTGCGTTTCGTGGCGGTTCGGCGGCACTGCCCCCGGCCTTAAGAGAGAAAGTTGAGAAGAGCGAGAGGTGAAGATGTGAGATGTAGATGTGAGGATGTGAGGATGTGAAGATGAGCAGAGATGTAGATGTGCAGATGTGAACATGAGCAGAGATGTATGTGAAGATGAAGATGAGCTGAGATGTAGATGCGAGGATGTGAAGATGAGCAGAGATGTAGATGTGCAGATGTGAAGATGAGCAGAGATACAGGTGAGAATGTGGATGTGCAGAGGTGAAGATGTGAAGATGTAGATGAGACGTAGTTCTGCAGATGTTTTTTAAAGAAGAACCCTTCGCAGACGCTCTCGGGAAAAACAAAACCAACACCAATCGTCCACTAAGACCAAAGGGCCACTGATGGCCACTGCATTGACCATCAAAGGTCTTTCCCCGATCCGACTGGGAGCAGCAAAGGAGCGTTTTCCCAAAGGATCGCCCCTCGGAAACGTTCTTTACCCATTGACCTCGGTACTACGGACCATCCGACAAGATACCAAGGAGGTACCTGGACCGTATGGATATATAGATGGTACATAACAATGGTTCACACTTCGTTTGGGCCCAGCGTTGTGGTGGACCCAAATTTATCATGATCCTCTCCTTGCTTTCAGCATTCCTGCATCACATAAGACCCTTGCCTAACTACTCTTCTGATTGGCAAAGCAATGCCACTGGCTAACTTCGAAGAACTTTGGAGAATCCAAGTCCATCCTTTCACAGCCCGAAAGATCAAGTGACACAACACCAGGTGCGTCCATCTCGCACTCCTCAGGTCCAGTCCACGTCGCGGAGAGAGTTTTTTCTTTTTGAACGGGCAAAGTGCCACACGGTCCATCCGGGCGTCTGCCGAAGGAGCTGGGGCGGCGACCGGCTTCAAGGCACGGATCACATAGGCGAGAGGTACTTCGGGGGGGTCGAAGAAAAGCGAACAACATGCATCGGTCGATGAGTGCTGTTGGTTTTCGTGCACATTTGAGGTAGAAAGGGAAGAAAGCCACCTGTCTTCACTTGTAATCAGCATATGCTTGCATATTAATAGTGCAGTTCGCAGGCATAATCTCACCAAAAGTCCAAGACCGAATTCAACCGAACATCCACTCCATTCAGAACAGTGTTCAGTGCAGCCGCTTTTGATACACAGTTGTTCTTGCTCGTTCCGCATGCAAATCTATATTACAGCTCCACAGAAAGCTTCAGCTCGGGGGATTGTCGCAAGTGAAAGACCTATACGAAACCAAGCCACCGAATCAGGAATTCCCACCCTCCAAACTGACCAAGCAACTTCTTGTTACCCTTGGGATGCTCGAACTGGAGTCCGCACTGGTACCCAGGAATCATGCTAAGCATGTCGGTACATGTTGGGTCAGGACATCCATCACCAAAGGACTGAGTCTCCTCAGTCTCGATCAGTCTCCTCCCGTCCCAAGTCCTCCGTCCGTAGGTGGTCGGCAGGGAAGAAACGAAGAAGACCTTCTTACTCAGGCCAGTGAAGGATGTGTCACGCTGCGATGATTAATCTGTCTTCAATGGTGGCGCTGGTGGCGAATCACCTCACGTTGAGGACCTACAAGGTCTTTGGATTCACGTCCACCTAGTCTGGTCCCTGCCGCGAACAGGGAATATCGGAATATCTGAAACTCAATTGAATGAATGCAGGGTCACAGCGCAATAGCCTGGTGTCTTCCAAAGTACACATGCCTTGTTTGGCTTTCAAAGGGCCTTCAAATCGTTTTGGCCCAACGACGCTCAAGGTGTTGTACTTGGGAGCACCCAGGAATATCCTCAAAGAAGTGAGATGAAAGGAAAGGAGCAGGGAGACTTTGCTCTGATATAGTATATTAATGTATATTATAGGGATGTGAACCCCACTCCACAAAAACAACATGCCTTCTATTTGTTGACATGACACAGTGACATGTTCACGCTTTTCATATCTTCTCGTAGCTTTTCGGACCTTTTTCGAAGTCTTAGGTTTGAACATGTTTGAACCCTTAAGTTTTGCTGGGTTTCCAAGCTTGGATCGGGATACCATCTTCAAACAGCGCAGGGCACATCCTCCACGTGTCGTGGTGCAACTCCAAAAGCCGATCTGAAAGTGTTCAAAAAGTTTCAGGGGGGGCCTGCAGGGGGCCCGGATGGAGGACTTGGAGCAGCCGTCGTTTCTGGACCTGGACTGGGAGCTGCTGTCGTTTCTGGACCTGGACTGGGAGCTGCTGTTGTTTCTGGTGGGCTGGGAGCTGCTGTTGTTTCTGGAGGTGGGCTGGGAGCTGCTGTTGTT